AGTTAAGTACTGATAAATAGCTAATTAAAATACGCTATTTAGGTAGGTAATATTTTTATGTATTAGGTATACGAGTATACTTATCTTACCTAACATTGAAAAATATTTGGTGTATTGACACAATTAAATTAATAAATAAAAAAAATATTCTTATCTTCTCATGGTAAAAAATATAAAAGATAAAAAAATATTTATATTTATATTAAATTAATATAAAAATAATTTATAAAAACTCACAAAAATTATACCTACCTGTCCTACCTTAAGGCCAATTTCCATAATATTCTGTAATTATTTATCAATTTAATTTTATTGAAATTTTATTGATAATATTTTACTAATTTTGAATTTATATTTATGGAACAAAAATAATTTCTTATATTATTATGTAATCAAAATTTTCAACTTTATGACTTATGTTATGACTAAAATAAATTATGTTACAAATTAATCATCTATTGTTAATATTATTCTAATTATTGAAAATGCTTAATTTAATATGATTTTATCATACTGACTCATTAGTCTTGCAAATCCAAAGTCACAGAGTTTCACCACCCCTTGGGATGTGAGTAATATATTTTCCGGTTTTATATCTCTGTGTATACAATTGTGTCGATGACAGTACGCAACGGCTTGTAAAGTCTGCCAAATAATTTGCTTGGTAAATATTTCTGGACAGCCATATGGATGTCTTTCGAGCTCGTGGAGTACTGTGTGCTCACAAAACTCAAACACCAAATGAAGTTTTCTTTTTCGGCGGAACACCTCGAGTAAATTCACCAGATTTGGATGTTTCAATGTCTGGAAACATGCATACAATTTTTCTATCAATGTAATATGCTTTAAAGTTTTAAAAATTAATCATTGCCGGTTTCAAGGTGCATGGTTATACTAAAAAAATAGTCTTGGTCATCGTATTTCTTGAAGGAAGAAATGATATATTAAAAATTAATTTCAATTTATTATACAACAATCAGATCTATTTGATACACCTTTTATAGGTATTACCTAGTAGTAGGTAAGAGTAACCTACCAATATGGAACAAGTTGACGTTACTCTGTTTCGGAAAATTAATATATTACATAAAATCTAGTAGTAACATAAATTATTCATTATCATTATTGTATTATTTTTTATAACGTAATATCACATTATTTATAAATCATAAGCTATTAATTTACGGATAAAATAATATCGTTGATTTTCCTAATAATAAAGAGTTGATGATAATTATTTTTATTTATTTGCTTGTTAAAATATTTTGTATGGATTTGAAAGTTCAGTGTAAAACCAAAGTAATAGCAGCACAATTATTATAAACTAATTTATGGCTCAAGTTTCGAAGGTTATTGGTTATTTGATAATTACATTTAGGAAGATGAATTAAAAATTCTTAAATTTTCCTTTTAAATACTTCAATAATAGTTTGACCGCTATAAGAAAATTTTATATTCGTAAAATGTTTTTCAATTAGGTTTCATAATATATAAATAATATCGATTATAATTTATATGGAAAATTATCCAATTTCGATCATATCATCAATTATTTAAAAATTTTGGATAACAATCGATTAAAATTATAAATTTTATAAAATAACCGCACATGCCTAGGTTTAACTGTAATTGTGTGCTAGATGTAATTTTAAGTTTTCATCTTGTAACACTTGTAACAGTAACTCGGAAGTGTAGTAAGTATTTGACAAAAACTCACTTTTAACATGCGTATTTCACGTAGAGCAATTTTTCGAATTAACGGATCGTCCTCGGATTCAACAAATTTTTTTATGGCTACTATGTTACCATTCTCTCGATTTCGACATTTAAAAACCATACCRTAACTCCCTTCACCCAATTTGCCCAGACGCTCGTAGCGTTCCATTAATTTCAACTTGGAGCTGGATCCATGTCTGAAAAATGAACAAATTATTATTTGTATAGATATTTGATTGAAAACTATAAAAATAATTTATTTTAAATGGCTGATTGAAAATGATTATCATTTTATCATTTGTAAAATAAAACAATCGAATTCTTTTCTATACAATTTGATACATATATATTTATGTATATTTTATAAACTATATACAATTACTCTCTGGGAGGGCAACTATATATAATTTAAAAAATTGATATCAAGATAGAGTTATATGTTTTACTTGGATTTGAATATGTTTATATTTATTAGTCGACAGTAGTAAAATGTGGAAAATATAAATTCTAATAAGACAAAAATTTCAATGCTACACGCATAAATTAAATGCTTGTAGCTGGCTAATAATTATGTTAATTAAAAATATTCTATATGATTCTTTTATGACATTTATATATTAATTTAAATAATCTAATGAATTATTAGAAAATAAAATTATTTATAAGTAACAACCTTATTCATACTTAATATAACTGCGTAGTTTTTAAATTTTTCCAAAATATATACAATATTTTTAATCTAAATTAAATTATTGATGATAAAATAACTTTTTAAATATTTACTGGCTATACTTAAAACAAAAAAATAAATAAATAAAAAAATACGGCTTAGATATACTACTCCTGAGTTAAACTAATTAAAAATTATTAAAAATTTTAAACAAAATGGAATTGAATTAAAAGTTTGGTAATGTACACTACACTTAAATAATTGTAGAGGTATTTTA